ATATAGGACTAGCAGCTTATTATTTATTAACTGATGAACTATCCAGATATCCCACAAAAACAATATACAAGAGTGTGTGACGAGCAAAGAAAAGTGCAATTTCCTTTACATGGGAAAAACTGAGAAAAATATAGACCAGGAAGGAAGAGAGGACAGCAGACCTGCTCTTTTCCAGAAGGGGGCTAAGAAATAGAAAGGATGGAGAAGGGCACTAGAGGTCAGTGTGCTTCTACTCCAGGGCCACAACAGAAAAGACGAGAGCACATCATTCCAAACTTAAGAGCTCAGGGAATTTCCTCTGCTTTGTATACAAGACACTGGCCCCAAAACACTTGGCTTGCCAGCAAAACATGTTATCTGGAGAAAGATTTTCTTAACCTCTAGAGAACTGTCTCATTGTGAGACAACAGGAAGATTATTTTTTTCCCCTAAAAAACCAAACCAAAACAAAAAGAAAATTAAAGAAAATGTTCTGACCTAAACAATCTGAACAATTACAGCATATGATTTTCTGAGTTTTCTATTGCTCACAGTTTCAACCAACCAATAAGAGTTGTGCAAATTAATGCTCTGGCATTTTCTTCAGCTCTTAAAAAAGAATGTTATGCAACGTGAAATAAGGTATTTACAGCACTGACATGCTTGCCAAGATTATCTCCTTCCGAGCGAGACATTACGTAAGGGAACATACTTAATGCACAAAGGGCAACTGCTCGCTCTATTGTTGCTTCCAAGTGTACCTCTTGCAGCTACAGTATCTCCAGATGAGACACTAAAAATCTTGAGGAGAGACAAAGAGCAAACCCAACCAACACCTGATTATCACGAAATAGAGCCATGAATATAGAAGCAGGTTATTGCAATATACTTACAACTTAGCAGAACAAAGCATTTGCTCTTTATATTTTGCTATCAGGTTCACCTGGCAAGATTTACTGAAGTTAACTCAATAGATACCTGGAGGTGTGTACGTTTCTACCGAAGAGTGCACAAGAACAGACCGTCTTTTTGAAGGCATGGGCATTTTTCGCTCTTTGTATTTTGCCAGTGCTGCTTGTACTGCTTCAGTGTGGACGTCTATATAGAAAAACAACAACAACAAAAAAAAATCAGGTTAAGAGATGAAGTTTAATCATTATTTCTTTCTAAAAAGACAGAAAGCATCAACACCTTCTTCTACAGCGCAGAACCAACGGCTGCATCACACCCTTATGGCTTTAATCCTGTGTAGCCTCGCCACTTAGCTTGCGGAAAGGAGCAGGTTCTCAGCACTCTTGGAGAGCAGAAAAGGTCCCACCTACAGTAACATGGTTTTAATTATGAAGCTGCGACAAGTCTATGAACCGTTTCTCCACCAAGAGTGTTTAGTAGGACTGAACACATACGCCTGCCTCCCACTCAAATTCAGCTCAGAAGCAATGGTTTCAAAAGTTAAGGGAGGATATAAGCAGGGTCAGGTTGACATATTTTCCTCATGAAATCAGCTCGAAAAGGCTTTGCAAGTATTATTTAGGAAGAACACCCTGAAAATCAACACTGAAGCGACGGACACCTAAGCACACTAGTTCTGAGCTATGATTTATTGTCCTTTTTTTGGGGACATTTCAACGCAGATACTGTAAATTGGCAACAGCATTGGACAACTCATCCTTCAAAATGCACAATAGGAAAAGAAGCGAAAAACGTATACTTGAAGTTCTCACAGAAGACTGCAAGTAAGATAAAACCAGAAAGAAAAGGCTAAACACACATGAAGAATTAGGGAGGAAACACACACTTGTTTTGCTCTCCTGAAAGCAAAAACTACCCTAATATACTCATGGGGTTTAACTCAACTTTTCTTATTTTTAAGCCAAAACTGAGATTGCAGAGGAATTTAGTGTTCAGTCAAGACCACGCTGCAGATAAAATTTAATGTATTCAAGTAATTCTAAATTGCCTTCAGCAGATTTTTCTCTTTGACACATATATGTCAACGGTGTCAAAAAGCTGAAACTATGGAGGAAGAAAATTCATGAGAAGTGAACAGATGTCAAGAAGTGAGGCAGACCAAAAATACACTGTAACTTATAACCTAAGGTTCAAACTCATGAAAAACAAGTACAGCATGTATACACTTACACACAGCTTCAAAGGGCCCAAAAGCAAGTGGTGTGATTATGCATTTGTCTTACCACACTTCTTTTATGTGGAAGCTGCTATACAAGAATTACAGAATGAAGCTGTCCCATTTGGAAAAAAAGTAAGATTTATTCTTTCATTAAGTATCCATCTCAGGCTACAAATACATAAAAGGTGATAAGCTTCTAAGTATGGAACTCAGACATGCGACATACATAACATTACACAACTTACATATATATAGAAAAAGTATGCCTCTACCCCATGCATACAGGGTTTAACTTTGATGATGACTATAGGTAAAGCTCCCTATCTTACCGTACCTTCTTTATTTTAAGTACAAAAAAAAAAAAAAAAAAAAAAACACCTGAACCTGCTTTTGTCATGCTCAGCATAAGGTTTAGGAAAAAAAAAAAAAAAAAAAAAAAAAAGCCCTGAACCTGCTTTGGTCATGCTCAGCATAAGGTTTTTTCCTCATTTATTTTAAATATGCTAAACAATTCCAGTTAACTTTGACAAAGCAAGAGACAGCTCAGGGGAAAGCTAATCAGTATATATTTTAACAAAAACCAGAAAAGATTTCTGAGCATCCCAGATAATAAAAGGCTACAAAGCAGCAAAGCCCAGCACTCCGAGGTGAACCCGTAGGAAACATCCTGGCACAAAACACTTGCCAAAAGCAGCTGTGTCTCAATACAGTGGATAAGCACCTGACACGTGGGGAACTACTGTTCAATTCTCCATTTCCAAAAGAGATCACAGATGCTGCCCATAAGCTCGGAAGCATGACCTCGCCAGAGGAGGCTTCACGCAGTGTATTTCTAACCACCTCTTCATGACAGATGACTCTCAGAACTTCTGCTCTTAAGTAAATCAGACAGAAATCCCCCTAGCTTAACCTGACATCTTTTCCTATGATAGATGAAAACTGTTCCATTTCCATATGTAAAAATCCCCCTGCTCCAAAGCATATTCACGCCATGTCCTTCAGGCATCCAACCTCTGGCCACACAGCACCGCTGACTGCAATACGGGGGTTCAAAGGGACACCACGGGAGAAGCACGTTAAAAGCCTAGGGCTGGGAAAGCACAGCCCCTTTATGAGAAACGTCAGAGAAATACAATCCACTCTTAACCCAGAATCAGGACGTTGTTTTTCTTAGTCACAGGTCCAAACAAGAAATGAACCGTTTCCTTCAGCCTGGCCACATGGATCAGAAAAATCAAAATACGGCCTGGGCGCATGGTCCCAGACACCTCCTCGGTCTTTGCAGTAACGATGCCACTTTTCAAGTCTGCAGCTCTCCCCTGGATGACCTGTTCTGTCCTGTATTTAAGACACATATATGCCAATATACTACACCACCTGTGTGTTCTTACAAGGCGTGAGTTTACGAGGTAGATGCTTGTCTCAAATCAGAACTTCTTGTGCAAATAACCTGTGAGGTTCAAGGACAAAGCTGTTAAGAGGGGGAAAAAAAATTAAAAACCATTCACTTCTTAAGCCTCTCTTTTTTGACACAAGATTTTTTTTTTTTTTTAATTTAAATACCAGTCACCCTGTTAGGTTTCACACCAGGGAGCTGTTAACTGTTTGTTTATGAACTAAAATTTCCTTTCCCTCTTCCTATGTCTCCCTGCCTACCATCCCCCCCCATCCAGGATACTGCTTTTTGTAGTCTTGGTTTCCTGATCTTTAGTTTTGGACTTTTTTTCCCCACCTTGTACATGTCCACTGCCGAACTTAGTTCTCATGGATACCTAGAAGCAAACCTCTTATCTTCACAAAACTCCGGAAAGTTTAAGCAGAACTCAACACACTTCTTGCTTTGCTGAGTTACTTACATGCACCAAGGACCTTACTGCTATCCATAAACTTGAGAATATCACTTAAACTCAAGGTTATTTTTGCAGCCTCTGAAGTTAGGGGCAAAATGCCAATTTTGCAGGACACATTTCCATAGCAGAACTTTCAGTCAAAGCCAAGCTGCATGCTTTTAAAAACAAGATGGTAACTATTAGATGCATTCACTTCAACCCTGCATATATATGTATATAGATTTTAGAAGATATTTTTATTTTCCATTAAAATCTGCTAGGAAGGAGAGGAATGCAACAAACGTCTTTTTTTTCCTCCAGAAAAGGTCTTCCAAAAGAGAAAACTAACAGACAGTATTTATAGCCTGCACATAAATTCGTCATTATTTAATGCTTCAGATAAAAAATGAAAGCATTCTTAGCCTAGTTGTATATTCAGGGAATGGAAAGGACTAGCTTGAGGCAAGGGTGCGTTGAGGTATTTTAACAGAGTGGAGTGGGACAGGTCATAACATCACACAGATTTGTGGTAGCAAGCATGGGAACTACTTGCTATTCCATTTCCAGAAGGCAAAAATCAGCACCACCTCCTCCTCTAGCCCTCCTACTCCCACCTCAAAACCCAGAAACGACGGGATTAAATGTTAAAAATGCAACCAGAGGACAGTCAGGATACATTTTTATTCAGTTTCATGTTTCATTTTTACAGCACTGATTTAACTTATTGGTTCCTTCTGTACTCATTAAGATCTATTTCCAGCCTGAAATTTTTCTTTTAGTATCTTGTCCTTGGATAACAACTGAGTAGGACCATCCTCCATCAGCCAAATGAAGGAAGTAATCAGCTTCAGTTCTCTGGAACACTTTGTTCCTAATTCTACGTTTCCTTTAAGAACTTTTCTACATTTATGCACATGATGAGACAGACTCTACTAAAAACAGCAAAAGGAATGGAATAGTTTTCAAGAAGCAGAACACTTAGGGTGCAAAAATTCAGAAATTAATATAAATTTAAGACTAATTGGATATTAGAATTTCAAAAGGAAGCTCTTACCATTGTTTACTATTAAATTCTTAAAAATGTACTGTGAAACTGATTTAACATGTAACAACTGTGGACTTCAGTTTTCTTCAGAGGATTAAACAGTCATTAAAATCAGATAAAATGAGATCTGTATTACATCATGTTTCTGAGAACAAGGAACACAAATGTTCAACAGTGAACACTGGAAGAGGTGAACAGCAAGTCCAGCATCCTATTAGCATGAAGATTGCATCCAGCAGTGAAAAAGCCCATACGCTGCCACCCGAAAGCAGAATAAAGTCTTGAAGAACATAGTTCTATGTATCTGCACCTTATTATTAAGCTGCAGACAACCATTAACAATTCATTATTGATACAAAACGTTTTTTCCTTCCTCCGCTGTAGTTAACCACATAATCTTAGCTCCATTTTATGTCCCTATTCTTATTTTCTTTCCTTTTACATGTCCTTAAAAAAGGATGAGGGAAAAAACCTAAGAAATAGTTTGAGGACTATAAATCACCTAAACACACCCTAAACCCTCCAACTATTAGAACAGCATTTTTTTTCCTGTTTGAAAAGGCTTTGCAAGTATCACTCCAGGAAAGTTGGTGGAGCACAGAGGATCAGTGCAGGATAAAGCTCTATGAAAGGAAACAAAAGACAGGGAAAAGAATGGGGAAAAATAAAAAGAACAAGGAAAAGGGGGGGAAGAAAAAAAAAGGAAAAAAAAGAACAAGGAAAAGGGAGGGAAGAAAAAAAAAAAAGGGCAGGGAGAGAGCTGCTGTGTATTTCACACTGCTGCAGAGTATCACCCCTGCACACTGAGCAGACTTGCTCCTCACTGGGAGCAGCTCCCCAAATGCCTCTCTGTATCCTGCTCAGGCAAGCTGGGAGAGCAGGCTGTATTTCACAGTATATCTCCAACAGGCTGAAGAACCGTCACCAGAAAAAGTGTAAGAGTGGAAAGAGACATGACAGCTGCCGGGAAAGCTTATTCAGACACCCTAAAGGCTCACCTGCTAACCCGTTTGTGTTCTTACCCAAAATCAGGCAGCAGTGGGACGGAGCAGAGAAGGCGGCACATTGCCTTTCCCCAGAAGGAAAAGCCATGAGCACGAGCCATCCATCCATCGCCAAGGGTGCTCTGCTTCGAGGCTATGGGGGTCTTGGTGCTTATCACTGTGTTTGCACAGTCCCTGCCTGTCTCTCTCACGTGGTCATCAGCCTTCAGCAGAATGAAAACCGAGTTAAAGCACCGTAATGTTACCCGCTGTTCTGAGAGCTCCTAGGTAATTTAGCAGCCTACAGCATTTATTAATGCTATTCACTGCTGGAAACTTTTCGGTAATATTTACTGCTTGAAGACAAAAATCTGTGGATGATAAAAATTACAGTCAATTTAAATGAACAAAAACTCTGGGAAACTATTTTAAAAAAATGTACTTACAGCTGGTAAGTGGAAGATTAATTGCATAAAAAGGAAAAATTGTTTTGCTTGCTTATTTTAAGTAATTTATGTTGATGGCTCTAAAATAACTGTAATTTCTCCAGAAAGAGATTCTGTTCTATGAAAAGTTGCATTCCACCCTCATCAGCTACTCTTGAAAAGGACACAGCAGAACTGACGAGATGCAAAGGAAGGAAAAAAAAGAAAAAAAGAAAGGCTGTAATGAAGTAAAAAAAGAAGAAAGAACACATCCTCGCCTGCTGCCGAAAGTCTAAAGAATAAGTAAAGGCATGCAGTTGATAGAAGCAGCAATGGTACCCAGAATTATAGCCTAAAGCTGTTTGTGCTTCACAACAGATAACAAGTTAACATTAAGTGAAATGAAAAAAAAGTCATGACATTTCAAGCTGGAGGTGGTGGGCATAGTTTCTTTAGGTAGAAGTTGCTCTTAGCATAGCTAGAATTTCTCAGATAACATGGGACTGGTGTTGTGAAGCAAAACTGTGACTCTTAATGCCAAACTATTGGGAAGAAGAAAGTGAAGCTGCTTCACAGTAACTGACGTTTTACATGACATCTTGTCAACATTCATATTCACGTTCTACATATACTTATATCTCACAGCATGAGCAGCCATGAAAAAGACCAGAAGAAGCATTTTCAGACTCAAATGAGTTAGATGATTCGACATCTACTAGAATCAGAGTAGTAATACCTTCAAAAAGTAATAACATGCAACAAACACCCTGCATTTTTCTCTCAGTCTCTCTCTACACTGAGATGAAGAAGAGAACCACTAATGTAATAAATCTGAAGAACTTTTCTAAAAATCAGAGAGAAAAAAAGGGAAAAGACACTGGCTTCTGAAAGCTGTATCTATATTACATTGCGTAGATGTAAGTTTAACCTAAATCAAGTCAAGCGAAACCAGCACTACCTGGTTTTGATATCACCTGAACACACTAAGCCTTGTCATATGTAATGGGAAAAAAAAAATTCCAATTACATGTGTTACAACTGAGAACTTTTCCCCCCTCCAAGAGTTTAAATTTCGAAGTGAAGAACACATTCCAGGCAAGAATTGTTCCTGAGTTAGTGGACCAGTGATGGGGAACTGCAGAAGGACAGGGCAGCCCACATGAAGCACTACCTAGTGTTTTGGCACTGGCCGGTGATAAGTACCAGAAATAACCCAAAACCTCTACACATCAAGCTTCCTCTGAATAACTGTCCACTGGCAGGATTGCCTGAACACTTGGGGTCATCCAAAAACACTCATTTTGAGATGTAAAAATATCAGCTAAGCTCTAGACTGATGAGACTGTCAGCGATGATGAGCGATGAGACTGACTTCAGAGTCACTCAAACTCGACGTAAAGAATTTTAAAATCAACGAGGCCATAAAAATACTAACTCTAGGAAAAAAGGACGCCACATCTATCCATAAGGATGCCAGCTGAACTTGTTAATACCCACCCACTTCTACATGTCTTGCACTGTAAGACTAATAAACCCTATGCCAAACTTACACCACACATGCTTCTGGTTTTGATGGTCTGCTTTTTCAAGTATCCTCGGTGCAAATTAAATAGGACATCTGAGGCTCTAAGACAGGAAAGCTGTCTGTGTACACAGCATATTGTCGTAGACTCCTAGCTCCCCAGGCTAATGGTTCCCAAGTATTCCCTGTTGTAGTTGTGCTCTTTTTGCTCTTATTTCTGTTGGTTTAACAACATTAAATGCTACTTCAAATGAATTAATTTTTATCAGCTTTATAACTCTGCTTGTAGTTTATCTGGAATCTACTTGGTCACACAGTAGCTTGGAAATCACGGCTGCAATTCAACCACTTATCTGTGGGTTTTTTGGGTATATGTTCAACAGTACAATTATATTGACAGTATGTTTGAAAAACAAAAATAAATTTAAATGACCAATTTGTACATACTCCTAATGTATTACTTAAATGTAATCTTCCCTGAAATTCAGAAGTTCCTTCTTTGTGCAGCTGAGTACATGCATCCTTCCCAGGATGTCCATACATATCCTCAAAATATTTAAGAGGTCTCATTCATCCCTGAATTATTCGTAAGAAACCCACAGAGGCACATCAGCTCCTTTTCTGGAGCAAGGTTTTAGATGTCAGCAGTGCAAGTGCGATGCAGTAGCCAGTGTGCCCAAGCAGTTGCAAAGTCTGGTGATGCAAGACCAGCAACGTATTAAGGATGCACAGTGCATGTCATTACTTGCACTTCTGATCCTCAAACCCAAGACATATAATTATCCTGGAAAACAAACAGAAAAATTTCCAGTGAGAAGTCCAAAGGTATTCAGGAGAGAAAAGCTTCCTAACACCTGCCTTTTCTCACTATTGTGACAGGGAATTTCACATGAAAACAGTGTACTTCAACCACCTGAATAGTAACAATGGAAACAGGATGTGATGAGGATATTGGTATTTTCACAGAAGTTTCCAAAACAGGTTTGTCACAGTGGTGTCCATTTAAAATTAAGTAGAATATCCATTGTGACATTTCCCTTTTTTGTGCACTTGCTTTAAACCAGGAAATATTTCAGAGTGAGCTACAGTAAATATGATAATCCTGACCTTCCTCAAACAAAAAATCCTACCAACTAAGCAAGCAAAAAAAAACCCCAAAAAACACAAACCCAAAAGCCACATGCTCTAATCTTCTACATGTTTAAATAACTGTTCTACAGGTTGGAAACCCAATCAGCAAACAAGAGAAAACTGTTAAGCACGGTGTAAAATTCACAATAAGAAAAACTTCAGAAGGCATGCCTACAATTTCTTTCCCTCTTACCATTTCCTCCATTCCCGATTCAAAAAAAACCACTCAAAAATATTCATTAGCTCCTCCCTTCTTCCAAAGCACTTCTGTTTCTTTAGGTGTAGGTACTACTCTATCGGTGCAGTTTTCCTCTTACGACACCTGATGTTTTAGCTACATTTCTTTTCCTTACCAGATCGGAAGCGCTCATCCCTGGAGTTGGTAGAACGGGATTTCTGCTGTTTAGACACAGCAGCGGTAGCTTGCGAAGATCCTGGGACTCTGTTCTCTGCTTGCAGGGATGGATCCACACCTGAAAGAGTTGTATTTCAGTACGAATTCAGGTTCGCAAATAAAACACCTGCTTCCCACGTCTACGTTCCTGTATCACCCCGACACCTACTTACAGGTTCAACTGAAGCCCTAAGCCTACACCTTTAAAAAAGATCCTCATCTTCCAACTGCATTTTAAATTATTTAAACTAAAATCTCGCTTGACCTCATATGCATTTCACATAGAAAGCAAGAAACACTTCTGAGTAACGGAAAAACTCCTTTGCTCCTTGCAGGAATTGAACCGTTTGTTGTTGGGTGTCACATGCCAGATCCATGCGGTTGGTGGAGGGAGCAGAGGGAACCATCCCCCTCCCGGCTTGCGGCTAGACCTCAAGAGAAATGCTGCAGAGGTGCTTACAGCTACACACTGGACTTGGAGATCCCCAAGATGACACCTTTGCAAGTGCAATAGCCACTACATACCAAGTACAACAGATGTAAAATTACAATGCAGTTGGAAGGGCTTTTTCCTATGAACCTACCATAATGTTATGCTCCTATGTGGCTATAAGGCTTAGTGTTGTGTTCAACCGTAAACCGTCCTCAGCCACACAGGATTCGCTGCACCAAGTCTGCTATATTTCTAGCCCTTCACCATGCTGGGCTGAGTATATCTTTCCTTTTACTCTTTCCTTCCCTCAAAGAGGTTCAGCTTTCCTACCCGCCCTCAAGTCTTGCTGGTACAAGAAACGACATCTTCAAAATGCAGATATTGACAGAAATCAGCTTTCACTGAACACGTCACTTGAGGAATCCAGCCAGTTCTCTTCCAAGTAAAGCTAGCTCTGTAACAAGCAAGGATTCCTCCTTTTCTGCGGGGTTTGTGTTCCCTCCCCTTCCCCGCAAGTGTGCACCGAGAAAGAAATTGATAATTAATTATTAATAAATCTAGCAGTTCTAACAGATTTTTATCTAGACCTTTGGGTAAGATGTGGTCTTCACATCTGAAGTGCAAGTTTTCAAATAGTAATTGCATAAATATACCAGTTGTCCCTCAACTAATCAAAACAAGCTTTCAAATACCCTCCTTTAAATAAAATATCCTCAGAAAAAGTTTTTGTCATCTTCCTGACTGGATCCGTTGCTATACATCAGCTTTCTTGGGTATCTGCTAACACCACCAGGTGAACACGCCCAATAATCCCTTTTCCATCCCCATTTGCAGCTGAGAGTTAACCCCTCTGGATGGTGAGAAGGCAGCCTTGAGTTAGCCACAGGTTCAGGGAGGGGGTGTGGGGGTAAAAAATATAAACCTAAAGCAAGAGAAAAGGAAGGACCATTTATTAAACCACAGAGATTAGGTTTTAAAAATTAATCCAAGTCCAGAGAAACGCTCCTGTCTTTTACAGTTTGCTATACAGAAAGAACAAACACATTCTCACCTAAGGGAACCTTCCTACTCTCCAAAAGCAAAGCTTTTGAAGTAGATGACAGGCTAAGTAACATCAAATGCATTTCCCAGTAGGGGAAATGAGACAGGCCAGTAAAGGAACTGACGTGTCCTCAGCGGAGAGCAGGGGAACATGGAGCCGAGTCAGCACAGGATGTTCCAACGCTAAACCCTATGAAGAGCTAATGCTCCCTCAAACACTTCAGTAGGCTCCTCTTACGGAAAGAAAAGCAAGTGCAGCCTACCAACTGAACAGAACCAGCATATCTGATACTTGAAGACTGGTGAAAATGCTGGAGAACTGTATTTTCTCTCTCATGTAAAAAAGTTTTACATAACCACAAGTCGGGAGTCCAGCGAGATTTGGTGATCCTGCAAACAGTAAAATACAAATCCCTATTTTAAATTAACAAAAACTGAGGCAAGTCGTCTCCTCAAAGCTTAAGCCAAAGAAGAGCAGATGCAAACAGATAACGTGATAATTAGGAGGGTGAAGAAGAGCACAGGACAAGCAGATAAACTCCCTAAAACAGACCGCCCGTTTATGAACTACTCCGACAACAGCATGAGGGAGATCAACGTGCCAAACATCAGGCCAATTTTGTGTGATCTTGTCACAAAAGAGCAGGAGGCTTTGGGATTTTTTTGGTGCCTTTCTTTCCC